CCCCAAAACCCCAAAACCCCAAAACCCCAAAACCCCTTTGTTAAATAAAATTATTGAATAAACTTATGAAAACGAATAAAAAGAGAATAAGAAAGGACATTAAGTCAAAACTGAAAGACAAATCCAAATCCTCTAGTAGTTCTAGTAGTAGTAGCTCTAAAAGTAACATTATTTCAGCTCGATGTATAATTTGGCGCTCATGATTCTCTAGGTAGTAAAAATAAAACCAGGGAGACAAATAAGAGCATTCGCCATAAATTAAACGACTCACGATATAAGAGACCGGAAGATAAGAAGAATCTTGGTAATTTTTCTAATCTCCATCGTTCTTATGGACTAATAGACTTATCTAAAACTGCAAACGAAGGCAAATAAAAGCAAGAGGTATAGAATTTCAAGGTCAAGGAAAAAGGAAAGAGTTCCTGCCAATAATCAGGAGGGGCTACAGAAGAATATCAACCTAGAGGTAATATTTTTGATAGTTTAAATTAATTTCTAGCATAACTCAAGTATGCCATTTTTACCTGAAGGAGATGGAAATATCGCTATTAAAAACATGTGTCCAACTGAGAGGTTAAGAACAGTTAAGCATACTGAGGCTACAAGGAAGCTAGCCAAAAGGCCAAATCCAAGGCCTAATGCTACAATTAGTATAGAAAGGTCTCAGGAGAAATAGAAATGTTTTTGTTGCCAAGAAAATGGATAAAAATCCTTCATATCTCTATCACCCTGAAAATTTCTTAAAGGATAACATAATAACTGCTGCTTCTAACCCTCAAGGAAGCGAAAAGTATTTTTAGTAAATTATTTTTCTTAGAAACCGTTCTATTCATGGGAATGATGAAAAATTTCTCCTGAAGAGGTCAATCTTAGGATCAATAGAGTGCTATCAGAAGCATGATCGCCAAAATAACCAAGCTCAGTCTATCTCTGTAAAATTCAACAAGGATACAACCTTATCAAGGTAAAGATGATTCTTAACTTTTGTAGAAGAGGACAGACCACAAACTTAAACCAAGGTAAACCTCCCTCTTCTCTTTTCCGTAATTTATTTAGGCATCGAGAAGAGCAAGAAGAAGAAACTGGTCACAATTGAGTATAATGGACTTCAGCAGTTGAAGAAAGAAATTGAAGCTAGGAAAAATAATAATCCTGATCATAAGTACTCTCAGAAATGACCTCTCTAGGTACGAATCAACTGCCACTCGTAAAAAGAAGAAGATCCAAGAACTTAAGAAGCAGAGCCTCGAGACCATGCAGATCAGAGGAGCTCGAGGGTATGTCCTACGTCCTAATGAGTTACATAAATTAAAGACTGCTGAAAGTCAGATTTCTGTATATGATGATTGACAGACAGCTTCTATTTATTTCCATAATTCTAACCGAAATGTCGGTGAGAAATTATCTCTTCAGACTCAGGACTTAAACCTTATTGAGGAAAAGCTGAAGAACAGGGAAAAGAGATCAAAAGTTAGGATCAAGCGTACAGAATCACGCATGAACAATAAGCACAAAATTATAGATCTCAAGACTAAAAGGCATCTTGAATTGTATGAGAAAAGGACCAAGGAATGGGAAGCACAGGAAAGAAAAGTTAGCAAAGCTCTTAAAAGGAACAGGTCTCAAAATCTCCATTCAGCTATTGATAATTTCAGACAAAAATAACGAACAAAAAGAGCTGGCAGAGAAAATAGCCCCTGTACTTGAAAAATATGGGGAAAATAATCTCTGGAAGATGAATCTAAGACGATGTGATCAAGTTGAGAAGCGCATTTTCAAGCTTTCCAAAGGAGATGAGTTTGAGAACAAGCCATATCTTCTGATGGATAATCCCTCTAAGCAGGTTCCTGTAGTCAGGAGACCTAAGAGCAGCTATACAAATTATAATAAAAGGAACTCCGATAATATTGTTAAAACTCAATATCAGAAGAGAAATGAATGGTTAAAAGGTATTAATCCAATGACCGTACCTGAAAAGAAGTTCATTCTTGATAGAGAGTCAGCAGATGGACTAATAATAGAAGGCAAGAATAAGCTCCAAAAAGAGATTGAAAGCGCTTACAATATTAAGGATAAAAGCCAAATAATCTACAAAGATGTGTCTAGTTGTAAAGCAGCCAATGGCCACAGATGCAAAATTGTGCCCTTCCTTGAGACTCAGTTTATCGAAACAATGGAGGAAGAAGTCATTGCAATAAACTATGATAAGGGATTATACGCATAATGATGCTGAATAAGCAAGTTCAATAAATGAATAAATAAAGGGGTTTTGGGGTTTTGGGGTTTTGGGGTTTTGGGG